GCCTGACATGGGGGATCCATCATTCACATAAAAAATCAATGAAATATTCTGGTCATAGGAAACTATTATGTGAATTATCAAAATTATCAAAATTTAATGCTTTTAACCTCCTCGGATACTAAATGAACACTGATGCATCTATTATTGTTTACAAATTCCGCCCAGAGAGAACTGGTTCAATATGTACACAGAGTATACACAACCGCAATTGAGTTTCCTTGCCTTACATTCTTGGTTAAATTAATAAATTCAATTTTTTAAATTTCGACAAGCCGTAAATCTTCCCCCAACCATATGAGTTGCCACAAAAAATATGGATCCGATCGATTCAAAAAATAAGGAAATTATCTATATTTTCAACCATTTTTTTAAAAATTAATTTATTAGTCTGACGCATGTACGCGATATGAAATACGCGGTGGAAATGATAAAGCAGTGGTAACTTTTTTCACACAAATATTTTAAACATTTTGCAGTACACTTTTTTTTGAAGACTCTTTGTTTACATTTTGTTCTACCTGGGTACATGTTTCCCCCCACTTGTCTCGGAGAAGAAAGTATTGAATGAATCATCACTGATCCCTGGGGTTAAAAAGTCTCAATGATATTATCAACTTATATATAGTTTATCGTTTACATAATGAAACACAGCTGGTTCTACGATGTGAAAAATTAAAATTTCAAATAAAAAATAACGAAGTTTCATAGTATTTATAGGTATTTTGGCCGTTTTGCTTGCGGATAATCATCATGAAAAGCCTCAACCAACAACAAGCTCAAGGTTGGGAATTAACAAAATTAATGCCAAATTAAACGAAGTGTTTTAATTGGCACGCATATTTTATGCAAATATATTCATATCAAGACTTTTCCTACAGAATCATCCGAGGGCATCATTCCGTCTGGATAAATACCTTTAATAATATATGTGATGAAAATGTATTAAATAGAAAAAACTAGAAACACATTTTAATAATTCAATATTAATCTACAAGAATATTTTTTCTTTATCTTTTTTTTAAAAATTAAACTTGGTTATCTTGCTCCGTAAACTGTGGCTTACTGTGCTCTCATCAGTAAACTGGTTTTACCACGTGTTAAACAGAAAACTGGTTCCCCGTGCTATAAACAGAAAACTGGGTTACCGTGATAAAACAGAACCTGGTTTACCATGCATGCTCAAACCAGAAATCTGGTTCACCCTGCATGCTCTAACCAGAAAGCTGGTTTACCTTGCATGCTTTTACCAGAAAACTGGTTTACCATGCATGTTCTGAACAGAAAACTGGTTTACCATGTATGCTCTGAACAGAAACCTGGTTTACCTTGCATGCTCTTAAAAGAAAACTGGTTTAACTTGCATGCTCTAGACAGAAAACTGGTTGAACATGCATGCCATAAACAGAAAACTAGTTAACCATTCATGCTCTAACCAGAAAGCTGGTTTTCTATGCATGCTCTATCCAGAAAACTGGTTCACCTTGCATGCTTTAAACAGAAAACTTGTTTTTTTATGCATGCTCTAAACATAAACCTGGTTTACCATGCATGCTCTTAACAGAAAACTGGTTAACCATGCATGTTCTAAACAGAAACCTGGGTTACCATACATGCACTAACCAGAAAACTGGTTTACCATGCATACTCTAACCAGAAAACTGGTTTACTATGCATGCTCTAACAAGAAAACTGGTTTACTATGCATGCTCTAAACAGAAAACTGGTTAACCATGCATACTCTGAACAGAAAACTAGTTTACCATGCATTCTCTGAACAGAAAGCCGGTTTACCATTGATGCTCTGAACAGAAAACTTGTTTACCATGTATGCTCTATACAGAAACCTGGTTTACCATGCAAGCTCTTTACAGAAAACGAGTTTACCATGCTTACTTTAAACGGAAAACTGGCTTACCGTGGTTTATACAAAAAACTGTTTTACCGTGGTTTAAACAGAAAACCAGTTATACCGTACTCTAAACAGAAAACCGGTTTTACCGTGCTCTAAACAGAAGAGCTCCCAGGCTGCATTCCCTATCTGTACTCCAGCTTGGCCAATGTGTACACTAATAACCTCTCTCTAAAAATATGTACATATTTTAAACACTGTATTCAGCACATCTTTACGTACAACGTGTGTCGTGTATTACAGGGTTACGCACAAAGGATGATACTCAACTGTACTAAATTTATACATGTCTACATGGCTAGACTGTGAACTCGGTTTTTTCTTTGCTTAATAATACAAAAGCTCATAAAAGACTATGGTTAAGGCGGATGACTTAGTTTAACTCTCGAATTGTTTTATTTAAAAGTTTGATGTCGTCTTTACAGTCTCATCATTCCGTGTATTACATAGCTATACAAAGCTAGCCAAGATTGGAGAGTGGGACCTCCTCTTCTTTGGGTTATACATGTTGTAACCCTCATTTTCTTAATAGAAGATATATTTTGAATTTGAAACCTGGATTCTTGATTTTTGTTCTAACGGATAAGCATCTTTTAATCTATCTTAATGAAGGAAAAATTCCATGAAATTAAACTAAATTTCAATTCATTATTTTTATCATTTTCAAAGGCTTTCTCTCTAACTTTCTATGCTTTGCTTAAATAAATACAATGTTAATGTGTTATTCAAAACTTAGACACTCAATTTATAACAATTATAGTTATTACAAGACTGCACTTTTAAACTAAAAGATTCAGAAAACCAAATAAAAAACTAATATAGAACTTGTATATATTAATGTTGAATTGTGTATAAGACTCTTTTCAAAGTTTCTCAGCTTGGATAAGATTATATTTAAAACAAGCAGAAAAAAGCTCAGAATGCTTTTTATGAATGATGTAGAGTAATATGTGAGTATTCTATCCAATAAAATAAATGCATTTCATTAAATTTGGAATGTGTTTCAAAGAAATTAGTTTTAAAGGAGTCGAGTTCTTTGTCACAATGATTTTCTAATCTCAATATCTTTTCACCCCAGTGTCGTATGACCTTTGATATTTCAAATATTTCCTCTGTTGAATTAAATCATCTAAGTTTGAAATATCTAAGGTTTACACCAACAGGTTGCAAAGATTTAGGGACTAGAAGATTGGATTAGTTTCTTAGATATGTTAACTATTTGTATAAAACTCTTTTCTTTACTTAGCATGGATTAGATTATTTCTTAACAAAACAAAAAAGTAGAAAAAGCGATTGGGGTCATTTTTAATGATGCATTTGCATATGAATGTCAATATTCCAGCTAAAAAAAAGAAATCGAATTTTTTAGTTTGGAATATTTTTCAAAGAAATAAGTCCTAAATTTGGTGTTTGCCGAAATAAGTGCAAGCATTGTTTGGTTCGGGTTGATTATTCCATTGTTCAAACATAATCAAACCGTCATTTACAGCATTCTCAATCGTCATAGGGTTTTATTTTACTCATAAAAAAAACACATTTTTATAGTTGGATGGTTTCAAAAAACTTTTTTGTGAATGCATGAGAATTAAAAAGTAATTGACGATTTTGTTTTTTGCACATTATGATAAAAAAGGAAATTAAAGAAGTTTTCATTTATTAGAACGGAGATTTAAAAAATTAATAAATTTAACGTTGCTATTATTTCTGTAAAATTTTTTTATCAAAACTGTTTCCCAGATAAACATAAGCTGCTGCACATGGCAGAACAGAACAATATTTAACTACAAAAATACTGATTTTTAAACTCCATTTTCATTTCCGATTGTCTTTAATGGATGATCTAATATATTCTTTTTGGAAGAAAACCCTTACTAACTTACCATCCTATAAAAAGAAAGAATTGATTCCACGAAATTTCTCAAGATCTTCTTCAGCTAACCTGCTAAAGCGAATTATTCAGAGGAAAGAAAGTAGTTTATTTTCTGAAACCAAAAGAGAAATTTTGTAAATGTGTTTAAAAATTAAAACCATTTTAAACACCAATATAATGTTCGTGTCATTTTTGTTAAAAAAAAACACAAACTAATTACGGCCATTGAAGTTACATGGTTTTAATTTAAAAAGACACTTCTCCTGTTAATGTTATAAACCGGGGTTTAATATTAACAGGCGAGACTTGTTACTCCGGGTGCAATTATAAACTGAGAGAACTGTAAACTCCGCTGAATATAGACGTAAGAGAATAAGTCCTCTGTTTACAAGGTAACCTAGCAAACTTTACGAAATATTGAACTAAATTCATTCTTAACGACAATGCTGCATTTTCATTTTTATTTTTAAATCAATAAATCAAAAATGTTTATTGCAAATTCAGAACAAAAAATAATTTAATAAAAAATGTAAAAAATAAAAAAGTGGCAGAATAGGTTACATACTCCATGGTTCATCATCCTCAATTAGTATTAAGATAATAATTAAGGGGCTCTGCTTATTACCTGGGTTTGGACGGGAGATGGTGGGGCTTCTGGCTGCATACCCCCCCCCCTTTCTCGTTGCACACCTGCGTCGGGAGACATATAAAATAATCTTATTTGAACTGTTTACTAAACAATTTAAAACCACATATCATAACACGCTGTAGTTAGATCCTTGTCCCAATTACCATTTTACCAATTAGACATAAATCCTTCGTTTTCTTTTCTCTTTTAAACCTTCTTGTTGTCAGATGCTCTTTTGAATGAAAAATTACAAAAAGGCAACTTAGTATGTTAACAGCTTGTTGAATTAAAGACCAACACATAATTGAAGAATCGGAATACATCTGGTAAGTCCAGGGTGTCAATCTGGTTAGTCCAGGGTATCAATCTGGTAAGTCCAGGGTATCATATCTGGTTAGTCCAGGGTATCATATCTGGTTAGTCCAGGGTATCATATCTGGTTAGTCCAGGGTATCAATCTGGTAAGTCCAGAGTATCATATCTGGTTAGTCCAGGGTATCAATCTGGTAAGTCCAAGGTATCATATCTGTTCTGCCGATTATACAAAAAATATGCACGAAGTTGCACTATAAATAATAAAATTATAATAAATGTTTTAACAATGTTAATTATTTATTTGTTTTTCAGCAATGATTAAAGTTCGTCTGCATTTCTTGAATTAACAACTTTTGACTCGTTTAAATCTTTATCTAGCTCCTCCTTCATCTCATTGTTCATCTTCATCTTCTTCCTGTCCTTTTCTTCCTTCTTGTCCAGGTCCTCCTGGTCCTTCCTGTCCATCTTCTCCTTCTCCTCCCTTGTCATCTTGAGCTGGATCCCTTTCTTCACGAACATATCGTCCGTAGTTCCCATCACATTCCTGCGAAATTTATAAACTAAATTCTGTTCTTCCAAATATTCCAAATAAAAGCTGTGTTCTTCCAAATCTTTAAAATTATAAAAAAAAATTTAAAAATTATAGAATTATAAGATAATTTTTGAAAAACTTAAATTACTCAAAATTATCCTTAGACGTGAAAAAAAATTATTGATTTATTTGAGATGCACATAAATTCTGTGTTTGTACAAGAAATTTTAAAAAGTTGAATTTAAAAAATGAAAATGTCTAAAATTTTCGAATTTTTTAAAAGTTGCTAATTTTAACAGGATTATTTTACTAAACTTCAACGGAATGGAGTATACCTTATAAAAGACAAAGGAAATATTTTCTATTTTGTCGATTTTTTGAAATGACTAATTTGACTAGATTTTTTTTTTACAAATTCATCGGATTGGAGCTCCTTATAAAAACACAAAGAAAATCTACGTAATAAAGCTCTTTGTCTCTATGAATATATATATATATATATTTCGCTATGGCTGACCAAACTGTTGGATCAAAGGGGCTGACATTTTTTAGGGAACCCCTGAATATTAGGGTGAATTTGTTTTGTCTTTCTTTTTTTAAAATGTTTTAAAATTCAAAATCAAAGTTTACCTGCTGTATGTTTGTACTGTGTGACCCCAAGGTACATGTACATAACCAACACTATCCATGAACTCTATCAATTCAGTTCTAAAAATGTTTTTTTTTTAGCTTTATACGAGATTAAAATGCAAGGAAAGTTAATTACAGTTGCGTATACTCTGGGTACATATTGAAACCAGTTCTCTCTGGGTGGAACTTGTAATCAAGAATAGTGCATCAGTGTTCGTTCAGTACCCGAGGAGGTTAAAAGCATTAAATTTTGACAATTTTGATAATTCACAAAACAGTTTCCAATGACCAGAATATTTCATAGATTTTTTATGTAAAAGATGGATTCCATGTCAGGCTGAGGCATCCGTCTTGTGTTTACATTACCGCCCAGAGACAGTTCACTGCAGTACAAAAGATGCGTAAACCTCTGAAATAAGTTTCCTTGCATTATCACCTTGGCTTTATATAATATTTTATTCATATCACATTTGCATTGCAAGAGTAAAAATATAGCAATAACATTAATTACATTATAACAATAATAATAATGATACTATTACCTATCCCCTGGAAAGAGCCGATCAAGCAAATGAGTCTCTACACTAAGAACCTGATGTAAATATTAAGTAAAATTATGAATATCATTAATCAAGTTCGTAATTTACTACGAACTATTAACAAACTGATTTAATTGTAAAATACAATTAATAATATTTATCAGACTAAATTATTAAATACTCTACCAAATAATCGTTAAAAATTACTTTAGATTCTTAAATAACTATGAATAAAAAGTAAAAATTAATAATCAATACGTTATTAATATTTAATTATTAGGCTTTAAGAACTCTTCGCGCGCCCTTTTCTAGAAACAATTTTAGCTTTTAACTGTTGCTTTTCAAGTCCATATTTTTTCATCGATCTCCAATAAACACAAAATTTACGAATTTCCCATACAAAAAATTGGGCCCGTTCGGGTTGTTTGTTTTAACGTTTATTGGAAAATGATAAAGAAGTTTAAATGAAAATTAATAAATTTTAATATTTTCCTAAACCTGAATATCAACCTTGTCCCAGGGAACGGTTCGGAGAATAGCAAACTCAGCTCCTTCTACGTCCAAACTATAGACAAAGCTGTATTAGAATACGTGTTCGTCTTCGGTTGGCCGGACGTTGAAATTTCTTTATTGTGGAATTTGACATTACCACACAAGTGGCCAGGGTCAACACCGAACATTTATCGTCAAAAATCTATTTTATTTTAAAGAAAAAGGATTTTTCAGGAGATGAAAATTATTCATAATGATGAAAAATGGAATATCTAACCTGAAATAGTTGACCGTAGGATTTCCCAATGAAAGTAAAACTGAGTAAAGCGGGAAACACTGCATCTAAAAATGAAAAAAAACATGTAAAAAATGTGATTGTATTTTTAAATCATTTTTTTAAGTAACTGATAACTATAATTTTTAAATACCTACAATCTTTACAACTTAATGGTGTAAACTTTTGTCATTTTAAACTTTACTATTTCATCCAGCACATTCATTGTTTGACATATGAAAGGTCCACTACATCAGGTTACAAAAAAATATAGATTATAATATCAAAGATTGTTGCGAGTATTTCATTCCTTGAAAAAACGTTTTAGGAAACTAAAGATAACAAAATAATTTTTATTTTACTTCTTAAAAGCAAAGAAATAAAGTGTTGAAAATATGATGGAATTAAAGAAACTATCATTATTGAAGTTTGTAAAGCATTTTTACCATGAATTGATCCTCGCTATCTCTTTTCACATTTGTAATTCCAGCCATTGATTCTCTATGCGTTTCATTTCTTATACTTCCCACTGTATCAAACAATACAGTCTAATAGGTTCAAATCATGTATCATGTACTTCCAACTGTATCAAACAATACAGTTTAGTAGGTTCAAATCATGTATCATGTACTTCCAACTGTATCAAACAATACAGTCTAGTAGGTTCAAATCATGTATCATATACTTCCCATTGCAACAAACTATATAGTCTAGTAGGTTCGAATCATGCATCATGTACTTCCAACTGTATTAAACAATACAGTCTAGTAGGTTCAAATCATGTATCATGTACTTCCAACTGTATTAAACAATACAGTCTAGTAGGTTCAAATTATCATATATTTCCCATGGCATCAAACAATACAGTCTAGTAGGTTCAAATCATGTATCATATATTTCCCATTGCATCAAACAATACAGTCTAGTAGGTTCAAATCATGTATCATATATTTCCCATTGCATCAAACAATACAGTCTAGTAGGTTCGAATCATGTATCATATATTTCCCATTGCATCAAACAATACAGTTTAGAGAAACTTAGATTTGAATTCTTCCCTGAGTTTTAGTATGTGTAGAGAGACAGGTTTGGAGATGAGTCGCTTTTCTGTTTTTCAATAAACCCTCACCATACGCCAAGGGATACGGTTCAACTAGAAAAATAAAGAAAATTATAAATGTTTAGTTTAAAGGGAATGAACAATGAGGGTGTCGTATATAGAACAGTTTAGAGACTTTTACTTCACTAAACCTTGTTATGCAAACTTTCTCTTTAAATATTTTCCGTCTTAAAGGAACAATAGATAATTTCAAGTAAATTTACACTTAAAGATGGGTATGTCCGTTTCACAACGATGCCCTTAAAGGGACGGTTCAGGAAAAATAAAAGGGGGTATAGGCTGAAACCTGAGCATTTCGGGAGTTAATCGATACCTTTAATAGAGTTCTATCTTGAGAAATTGATATAAAACTGTGTCAAAATTATACCAAAACTTATATGTATGTAAAATTGGTATAAGATTCTAAGTTTTAAACATTGAATATACAGCAAATAAACAACCAATCTGAAAAATATTGAGCCTGAATTATTTGAATTTATTAATTTTGATATAATTTATAATATAATTTAAACGTCCGTATCACGTGACCTTCTGCTTACGTGATACGCCAATGGCAGTAGTGCAGTATCATTGTCACGTGTCTCCGTCTGTATCACTTGCTTTAGAAGTAATAGAGGAAATTTTCAGCTTAAAAAGAGAAAATATCTTCCAGATTATTGATCAGATAAATGAAACCTTATTTTACATGGATGACGACTCAAGATTTCAACGACAGTCCCTTTAATAGAACAGTCTCTTTAATGAAACAGTCCCTTTATTAAACAGTAAGAAGAAAGAAAAAAAGAACAAACCTAACAATCCTGTCCAACCATGGTTTATCTCAAAGTAAAGAGAATCTGAGTTAAATTCTGCATTAAAGGATCCAGCTTCCAGGAAGAACCCGTTCTTTAGCTCTCCTTTATTCATTCATTCTATTCTTTATAATTCATTTTTATCCTTCATTAATTTATTCTACTCTTTATAATTCATTCTTAGCCTTCATTCATTCATCCTATTCTTTACAATTCATTCCTATCTGTAATTCATTTAATCTATTCTTTATAATTCATTGTTATCCTTCATTCATTCATTCTATTCTTTATAATTCATTTTTATCCTTTATTCATTTATTCTATTCTTTATAATTCATTCTTATCCTTTATTTATTTATTCTATTCTTTATAATTCATTCTTAGCCTTCATTCATTCATCCTATTCTTTATAATTCATTCCTATCTGTAATTCATTTATTCTATTCTTTATAATTCATTATTATCCTTTATTCATTTATTCTATTCTTTATAATTCATTCTTATCCTTTATTCATTTATTCTAATTTTTATAATTCATTCTTATCCTTCATTAATTCATTCTATTTTTTATAATTCATTCTTTATCCTTTATTTATTTATTCTGATTTTTCCTTCATTCTTATCCTAATCCTTCATTCATTGATTCTTTTCTTTATCCTTCATCCTTCTTGATCCTTTCTATTATTATCCTTCATCCTTCATTCATTCTTTCTTTTCTTTATCCTTCATTTTTACCCTTCATTCATCCATTCTATTCTTTATCCTTCATTCTTATTCCTCATCTTTCATCCTTTATCCACAATCATTCATATTTTATCTTTTATCCTTCACCCTTTATCTTTTATCCTTCTGTTTTCATCAATTATCCTTCATCTTTCTTCCTTCATCCTTCATCCTTAATCATTGATTACGGATATTAATTTTTCTCTCCTAATATTACTATTTCCTCGTCAGAAAAGAATGTATTCCTCCAAAAACAACTCTATCCACATCCCTGGGCTGTCCGACCTCTCCATCTTAAAAATATTCAACTTTATCAAAAATCCTAAATTTTATTTAGACCAACACAAAAAAGTCTAATCTATGCAATCTAAGTTTGAAATGTCTAATTTCTGACCTCAAACTATAATTTTTTAATCCTTATATCTTTTGTGAGTGATAGCGCTATTAGAAATGCAATGCTTGATATCAATATTCAATGTAACAACTTTTAAATTTGAGGATATGTTCTAGATCCCTCAATTCTATAGTCATTCCTGCGTTAATCTACAACGCTTGATCTCGGTATCCACTGTGACAACTTTTGAATTTCATGAAAACTTGCTCAATTAAAGGGACTGTAAGCTTAATTTCAAGTGTCAGATTTACAGCGGAACCCAAAAAACCCTTAATCTACTCAAAAATGTGGAAAATATTGTAGTTTTTCTGACTCGAAAAGTGTTCATTTCTGTTAAATTCTCGGTTGCTTCTTATAAGCAAGAAATGCGCAAGCCACTTTTGCAGAAAATAATAAAAATAAACAGATAAAGATAAGCTTTAAGGGTACCGTTGTAAATCGGACATAGTCTTTGCATGAATTGTCCCTTGAAATTACGATTACAATCCCTTTAAATTTAACCTCTGATAAGATAGTCAAAGTTTGAAATATTAAAAGTGTGATGTATACTGTATAGGTTGCGAGGATATAAGGAGGTTTAAAGATTTTAGTTTGAGGGGATTGCTCTAGAAATTGATTTTGAAAATGTGATTATTTTTTAAAAGTTGTAAAATTACATACTTATATTTTCCTCTATCGGAGCAGAGAAGTTGTATTCTTTATTGTTTGGTTCAACCAGTCTATTCTGAAATATAGAGAAGGTGTATTCTTTATTATTATTGGTTCAACCAGCCTATTCTGAAATATAAAGAAGTTGTATTCTTTATTATTATTGGTTCAATTGGTCTATTTTGAAATATTATTAATCATTATTATTAATTTATTTATTGATAATTCTCTCATATTAATCTTATATTAATCATCTTATTTTGGTAACAAGTATGTTTGAAATAAATATATTTTTTTGTGACTTCTGATAGCTTGAACCCATAGAGATGGAGTTGAATTAATCCGTTAGAAAAACTATTCAGATTAGCGTTTTTTTCAATGGATTTACAGTTCAAAAGTTCCAACCTAGAGTTAAATACCTTGATTTCTTCGATTAGTTTTGGTTCATCATGATCGTAACAATTCAAATGAGGTTTTATAGTCAGGCTTCCATTGATCCAAGGAGAGTCCTGCATTCTGAATATTAAAAACAATAAAGCATGATTTGTAAATATATGGACACTTTAAACATTTAAACGACATTTAAAACACAACCCTGAAAGGACAGTACACTTAGTTTGTAAAATAATTAAGTAAAGAAATGTTATGCTATAACTTAAAGATTTTAGAATTTAATTGAATCGTAAAGAAAACTAAATTTTTAGAAACAAAAAGAATCTGTGAACTGAATAAGATAATATAAAAACTAACATTAAGAATCTATGAACTAAATAAGATAATATAAAAACTAATATTAAGAATCCATGAACTGAATAAGAGAATATAAAAGATAACATTAAGAATCTATGAACTTTAAAGAGAATATAAAAACTAACATTAAGAATCTATGAACTTTAAAGAGAATATAAAAACTAACATTAAGAATCTATGAACTAAATAAGAGAATATAAAAACTAACATTAAGAATCTATGAACTGAATCATCTAAAACAGAACTGGAAGAAATTAGAACACTCACATCCTCATCCAGGTTGGTTTTTGTATCATATCTAAAAAATAGTTTTAGAATTTAGAAATTAAGTAATCTACCCTCCCCCCTCTCTCGATTAAAAATCTTTGTTAATTAAAAAAGTGATAAATATGATACTTGTTAATCATCTTTTTATATTATATTTAGAAACTTCCATGCATGATGATGTTTTATATTTATCACTAGCCAAAAGGCTCGGCGTTTCCCGTAAAAAATGTCTTGTTTTATATTATAGATATTACAATGAGACCCATAAAATTGGGGAATGGAAAACAACTGTTAGACTCAAATTATTATGTGCAATAATCCAATAAACAAAACAATTGTACAGAGACCATTTTCACTAAATAAGTTGTTATTCAAGCTACTGAAAAACTATTTGCTATGCAACAACATCAAGTACACATAAAATTACTGAAATGTCGTCTTCATATTCCACAGTTTTATGGGTCCCACTGGAGTTTTGATAGTAGAAAAAAGACGACATTTAACCCTCGTCCTTGAACTCTGAATTCCTACCTGTAATTTATCGTCTCTGTTTTCAGATCTTCACAGTTCTCATCTGTTTTAATTTCTCTGTTTTGAAAGAACAATCAGATTTGAAAGTTTGAAAATTGTTAGCAAAAGTTCTTTTTATATTTTTTAGCGTTTGCAGACTAATTATAAAATTTTTCCTCCTTAAATACAACTTTTTAAGTTGATAGCCATTGCTTAAGGAATTGCGTCTTTTCCACAAACTTTATGTTTTTCTCTAAATATTTGCAACCTGATGGTGTAAACCTTTGATATTTCAAAATGAATTTTTTTTTGGTTTAACAGAATTTGTAGTTTGAAATATCTAAGATCTACGGCATTGGGGTGAAAAGATAAAGGGGTTAAAAAATCTGAGTTTGTGGCAATTTTAGATTTTAATTTTAAACAATGAAAACGAGAATGGTTTCAGATGCTAAATTCAGCTTTTTAAAATATCATAAAACTGTTTTTTCTTATTCTGATTTATTCCTTGAATGAATTGGTAGTTTGGATAAATCCAACTGTAAATAATATATTTTCAAATATCAAGAGAAACAAAACATTTTAAAAAAAAAAAAGTTTTCCCTGTATGTACAGTTAAACTGCAATTTGAGCTGAGCTGAAAACTTTAGAATGAGATATCCTTAATCCCGATTACTTATTCTGAGTATCCAATGGACACACTTTTGAATTTCTTCTTAAACCGTTCTTTCTTGGATATAGTAGAGAAAAATCAAAAACCGGTTTTTAAATTTGAGAGTCCCTCCCGTTTCTGAGTATATTAATATTAAATGGCGCGCAAAATTTCAAATTTATCGGCTTCATATACGCGACTCTGATTGGTTAAATTTTATACACTTTTCAGGATACAAGTATAAGATTAGGTTAATCTCGATATTAAGAAAAAGAGAGGATCAAGCATTAATCTCGATATCCACCATTCTAAAGTTTTCAGCTGTGAACGTTAGAATTAAAACCGGGATTAAAGGTGTTAAGTTTCTAGTGCTTGTACTATAGGGTGTACATATACTTACATATATGTATGTATACAATATGTTCAACAAAAAACTAAATATCTTGCCAAATATAACAAAAATAATATTTTAAAAAGTGCGGAAAAGTGAAGAATTAATTTCTTTTAAAATTTGAAATATTCCTACGTTGTTAAGATCCTCTACTATCTTTCCTTTAGGTTGCATCTAAAATGATAGAAATTAAAAACCCTTGATATTAAGCGTAAATTCAAGTAACCCTCCAGGCAAAGCTCACTCCTGTATGCCGAGTCCATTAGTGCCTGATCCAATCAGGATTCAGTCATATGTGTTTGTTGTCTATTCTGAACCAATGAAAATAGTATGGCGGTAACATCTATCTTTCTATCTATCTCATTATCCAATTAGAGTTATGAATCCTTTAATCGGCGCTATCAGTAAATGGAAATATTTACTTCTACTGAAACTATAGTGAGCTGACAATGTCTGTGACATTTTTTGTGACATATAGATAATCTAAAATGTATGTTTCTCTAAAAAAATGTTAAACACCTTCAAACTTTTACATCCTGATCTCTAGATGTTTAAATTACTATCTTGGCATAGCAACGAAAAATATAGTTTGTTTTATATCATGCATTTCAACATACTCTCAGACCCAGACGTCTATATCTTTGTAACCCACTTTTTATCTAAAGTTCAACTCAGTCAACTAGGCCGCGCGCCAGACCAATCCTTTACCAGCTTTTTACGTACAATTCTGTACCAACCAATGAAACCATGTATATCAAGGAATTTTGTTATCTATAGTATTGTATTCTTTATATATAGGTGCGCAAATGCAAACCTTTTAGTATAAAAACTATGTATGTTATATGTATTATCACTCTATAATGGAACTTCACACTGTACACTCTATTCTCTACCTTTGTGAAATATATTCTGACAGATAAAAGTAAGTCATTTAATAACGTTTTTACTTATAGAGTCTATAGTCAGAAATTGTCCATCTTTGAGAGTGTTGAAAAAAGGAATGTTACAGTATTGCAAATCAAATCTCTAGAAACATATCCTGGGAATATTAGCGAAAAATCAGAGTTTTTGAGCTCTCCGCATTGCTTAAGCTTTGCGTTGCTATTGTCTTTACTAAGACAGTTTTTGGGAAAAGTTTCAGAGTAACAACATATGGACATTTTAACCTAAAACATTCATATTTACATCACTCTAAAATTTGGATTCTTTCTGATTATATAAGATATATTAAAGCTTCATTTCTAGTAAAAAATATCACACCTAAAAAACCCAGTTTTGTGGTAAATTAATTAAAGAACTTTAAAACCTAGAAATTGTAGCATGTCCGATTCACAATGATGCCCTTAAAAGCTCTGTCTGATCAAGTTGAATTAGATATCAATGTTCATAATTTTGAAAACTGATATATTTCTATTGTGGTTTCTCTATAAAAGTGAATTGCGCAATGCAGCTGCAGAAAAACACAGGAATTAATTAAACAAATTATCAGAATTAAACTCTTTTCAAGCTATTGAAAAACGAAAGTATTTTCTCATTATTGATAAGATAAAGGTTACGAGGGTAACGTTGTGAATCGGGCGTTGGCATTTCTACCCGGAGGATCACTTGAAATTAGGCATATAGTTCTTTTAAATATCTGCCAAAATGGTCCCTTTAAATACCTTCCAAAATAGTCTCTTTAAATATCTGCCAAAATAGCCCCTTTAAATATCTGCCAAATAGTCCCTTTAAATATCTGCCAAAATAGTCCCTTTAAATATCTGCCAAAATAGTCCCTTTAAATACCTTCCAAAATAGTCTCTTTAAATATCTGCCAAAATAGCCCCTTTAAATATCTGCCAAATAGTCCCTTTAAATATCTGCCAAACTTTAAATATCTGCCAAAATAGTCCCTTTAAATATCTGCCAAAATAGTAAACCTTTTTTATCGAACAACAGTTTTTAATTAATTTAAATAAAAGACAAATATGGAAATAATATTTTCGATCTAAAAAATATGGACGACCCAAATTGGACAGTTTTTATGGTTTACCATGATCGGTTCATCAGCTTGAGGGTTGAAATCTAGTTTACTGATTACTCCAGTAGCAAGCAGAACTAGGAGAGCTAGATTCATTCTTGGATCCAACATTTTATAATTCTTACTCACTTAATCAACCTATCTTCATATCTCCTAACACATTTTCAGGATATTATACTGTCCTATTTATTATTAACTATCCAATAACTGAATTTAATCCTTGCTATACTAGAATACTATCCACGATATATCAGTTCCGTTCACTGGTTGGAGATGGTTTCCTAGTTTCTAGATTTCTCCAGGTATGCCTAAGAGCTGTACGGTTCTAAACCATCCCCGTATACCGGCTCCGGGTTTGTGTCGAGTCATTCAGGTGTGCTAAGTAAACATTTATTATATATATACATACATGACACACTTATACACACGGAAAACTTAGGTTTTTGACTATACTTTACATATTCACAAATTTTACTTAGGCTTATGAAAAATGTGAAACAACGTACAGTTTTCTCTCTTCACTATTTAGACTGCAGAATTATTACGGACATGCATCATACAACTTGTTATCGCTTGTAAACAAATCCAGGCCCTCTTTCTCAATAGATTTACTTTAATCCAGGCCCTCTTTCTCAATAGATTTACTTTAATCCAGGCCCTCTTTCTCATTAGATTTACTTGATTTTCTCAGCATATTTTGCCAAACTATAAAAACCATCGGAAGTTTTATTTCCTTTATATTCAACATGCATTTTGAAGAGTTGGGAATGACCCATCATATAATATTTTCCTGAATAACAAAACAGCCTTTTATTGTTCACATAGAATATGTTATAGCAAACCATTTCATGTACCGGGCCGACTTTCAACCTGCTAGAGAGAGCCATACATACAGTACACATACAGAAATATACGGCTAAACGGGACTGTACGCGAAATGAACAATCTCCTTCTTTAAAGAAATTTATGTGAAACGTAATCTTTATGACTTTTAAATTTAGTTATAACAATATAAATTCATAACAAAAACTATTTCGAATTCGTCACAAAATTCCCATGATTTTAAGAGTTATTTAAAGAACTTCAATATTGGACATTCAATCTTTCAGGAGAGTTCTATTAATTGAGCGAATACATTCCCGGTCTATGTTTCATATGTTCAATTACGGTTAATATTACAACTTAAGATTAGGCCTGTTTAGACTTAACCCAACCTTACCTTACCTTATCTTTTTAATTTGTGACGAAAAGCCTTTCATTAGATATACGTATAAGCAACTAATGAAAGATGTTGATTTTTCTTCGTTACAGCCGAGCTGTACGGTTATTTCAATGTTATTTCATAATTCATTTAATATCATGCTTTTAAAGGATCAAAATTGATACAAAAGAGCAGTAAACAGGATCCAGATCTTGATCCGCAGCATTTTGACCGTTTGGATCTAGAAAAATCTGGAACTCCAGAGGTTTCGACGATTTTTAAGATCTGGATCCATATTAAAATCCGCAGTAATATAGAGACTACCTTTATCTTCAGCATGATGCAGGGTTACTCACAAAGGATGAGATTCCGAAGAATTTTGTTTTACAACTATGGTTCCGCAAACTTGTAAAATTTTTTCTTCTTTTGTCAAATTATTTTATATTCCAATTGAAAGCTATATTTAAAACAGAAACCCATACATCGATTATTTTTCTGTTCAATATTGCCATTTTATCAATGTCAAACAGCCCGTGAGACCCGATGAGATGGATTCCGTTTAGCCTTAGTTCAGATTCGAAACAATAAATATCTGTCTCAGAAAAAAAGTGATATTTAAATTGGAAAGGAAGTATTTCGAAGTTGAGTTGGGGAGGGTAGCTTGAGATGGTAGAATATATAAAAGAATATATAAAAGACTTCTTAATCTTTAACCAGCAATATGATGTTCTCTCTCTCATGAATCAATGTGGTTGCAAATTAAAGAAGTATATTGATCTGATCTGGTCACATAAAGAATACAGGGTTCTTTGCACTCGCTTTGACCGCGAGGGTGGTACGCGGGTCGAACAGTTCTTTTCTTCTATAGGAGTTACATCTTGAATCCTTCCTCTTTACTGGTTCTATAGCGACTGCTTTTTGCAGATTGCCAAATTCAGGGCAAATTTAAAGTTAGTAATATTTGAGAATATAAACACTTTTAGGCTCAAAAAAGATAAAAAAGTGAAAACATGAAAACATATTAATAACTTTTGTTTCAAGGGATCTAAACACCCCTTTTGCTAGGCAGCATAATACTGCGCAAAATATTCACACAGGCTGGTTTTTTGCACAGGCTTATTTCTTCCTAATACTTCTAAAATTTCCTAATACTTCTAAAATTCATATTTTCTTGTCCATTGTCATTTGTCATAAATGAAGCATGATATAAAAAGTTTATAGTGTCGTAACTTTTACGTAAAATCCAAACTATTGGGATCCCAAACGATTATCAACTAATGTTCAAGATATTGGGATTAGGTTTGGTTTGGGAATAAGGTATATGAATGGGATAGAACCAATTGGGAGTAGGTAAAAAAGGTTGGGAATTGGAAAGGATATCAACTAAAGAGGAAGTTGGGATTGGGATGGAAATCAGCTGTAGAGAAATTTGGGATTGCAAGATTTGGGATTAGGAATCAATGAAAGCTAGGATGAAAATAAGTGTTGTATATTGGTAGTTAGAGTGATTGGAAAGATTGGGCAAAGGAATAGATGTTTTTTGAGAACTACTGTATTGAAAGAGAATAAGCAAAATATTGAAAATTTAGTATTAAGATACAGATAGAATAAAATACTTGTGTATAAAACTATCAGAGAATAAGTGATTTATTGGATAAAAATGTTAAATAGGAATGAAGACGACATTTTGGAAAGGATGAACGTAATATTGTCAAGTTAGAATAAGAGAAAGAAAGGGAAAAAAATCATCTTTAGAATCATTCAATAATCCGACTCATATCCATTTTTTTTAATGATAAACAAACTAGTTTTTAATCTATATTTTAGTTTTAAAATAGTATTTCATAATATTCTTGATGACAGTATCTTTATCGCTTAGCCCTGCAGCTAGAAAAGAGGATTCTAAAAATATACAAATTTAGTTTTAAATATCATCTTAGATTATGATTGTATGATTAATTGATTACCTATCTCCGCCGTGTCGTCTTGTATTTGGTTTGGAAAAAATGTTCTGGAAGAAGAAACTGCACAGTAACCTACAATCTGGTCGTATCTAAATCATAATTTTGTTTTACGAAGGAAGAATCTCACAGATCAATGGATTATTTGACATAGGAATTGAGTCTTTGCCACAAACTCTGATTTTATAATCGCTATATCTTTGCAACTTAATTTAGTAGACGTTAGATGTATTAAACTATGATTTATGTTAGATCAAATAATCAAAGTTTAAAATATCAAAGGTTTACTCCATCAGGTTGCAAAGATATTAGGATTAGAAAGTTTGAGTTTGTGGCAAAGACTCGATTCATTTTGAATGAAACCACGCACTGTGAATACTATTTTCAAAATATTTCACTTTTTATGGTTTACATCACGAGTTAGGAAAGTTCTGTTAGCGAATGAAAGTTTTGAAAATCAACGGAAGATCCCAAAAAGAAAAAAGAAACATAAAGTTATAGATCCAATCAGAAACAACCATTAATTAAAAATACTGTAAGTCTTGAACGCTTCAGATACAACGGGATATCATAGAGGAATCAAATTAAACCGTATGTCTGCATAAAATGGAGATCAGCGATTAATTCCAGAAATCATAACACTAAGTTTCTGAATTCCAGACAATTTAGTTTATAATTAAAATGTTTCAGCTGAAAACTTAAGAATGGTGGATATCGAGATTAATATGTGATCCTCTCTTTTTCATTATATCGAGACTAATCTAATCTTGTACTTGTATCCTGAAAAGTGTTTAAAATTCAACCAATTGGAGTCGCGTATATGAAGCCGAAATTTGAAATTTTGCGCACCATTTAAGATTATATACAGAAATGGGAGGAACTCTCTAATTTAAAAAATCCGGTTTTTGATTTTTGTCTAATATATCCAAGAAAGAACGGTTTAAGAAGAAAATAAAAGTGTGTTCATTGGATACTCAGATTAAGTACTCGGGATTAAGGATATCTCATTCTAAGTTTAGTTTGAGTAAGAAACAACCCAGCACTTGATGGGTCTACCAGTTACAACAGTTAAAACTAACCATAAACGAACCAATAAAAAATATGATAAGTTGACCAACCCTAATCACATCTACCCATTTTGCAAAACGAACATATTTTCTTGCCTAGGCCTTGTTTTAAAAAAAAAAGTTAGCATAATGTAATGTTTTTCAGTAGATTTCCAAAAAAAATCGGTTCACCCGAATAAAATCAAATGAAGAGAAAGAGCAAATTTATCTTAATATCTTACCTTATTTTAAATCCTGGTATATGATGCTGCTGTATATAATCTCCCTGTGGTATTCCTGTATGCACCTCTAGTGTGATTAAACTACCGGATATCCGGACAACTACAGGTCTACTCTCCTAAATATTAATATTTTAGACAACTACAGGTCTGCTCTCCTAAATATCAATATTATACACAACTACAGGTCTGCTCTCCTAAACATTAATATTTTAGACAACTACAGGTCTACTCTCCTAAATATCAATATTATACACAACTACAGGTCTGCTCTCCTAAACATTAATATTTTAGACAACTACAGGTCTACTCTCCTAAATATCAATATTATAGACAACTACAGGTCTACTCTCCTAAATATCAATATTATAGACAACTACAGGTCTGCTCTCCTAAACATTAATATTTTAGACAACTACAGGTCTACTCTCCTAAATATTAATATTTTAGACAACTACAGGTCTACTCTCCTAAATATCAATATTTTAGACAACTACAGGTCTGCTCTCCTAAATATCAATATTATACACAACTACAGGTCTGCTCTCCTAAACATTAATATTTTAGACAACTACAGGTCTACTCTCCTAAATATCAATATTATACAGGTCTACTCTCCTAAATATTAATATTTTAGACAACTACAGGTCTACTCTCCTAAATATCAATATTATACACAACTACAGGTCTGCTCTCCTAAACATTAATATTCTTTTTTAAATGAATTTAGTTATACCTTGTCTCCATGTGTATAGCTAAGTTCTCCTCCACAGTATCTGTCATGGCTTACCAGGTTACCTACGTAGAGTAATATTTTGGACCTTGGTTATAGTTATGGTCTTTTTTTGTCATGTTAAAGGCTTTGTTCATGCTCGTGATCATTGATCATCGTCATGGTCAAGTTCATGATCATTGTAATTATCATGGTTATATGGTCACACTTTTGGGTCATAGTCATAGTTATTGTTTAGTTTCGGGCTTGGTCATGTCATGGCCATGGCCATGGTCATGGTGAAGTTCTATAGTCATTGTCATGGTTTTTAATATATGGTCAAACTTTTGGTAATAGTCGAGGTTAATGTCAGGGAACAACATGGTTAGGTTTTTGTTTTGTTTTTAGTCATGGTCACGAATATGGTTGCTGCTATTGTCATAGTTTAAAGGTCATGGTCATGGTAAAGGTCATGGTCATGATAAAGGTCATGGTCATGGTAAAGGTCATGGTTAAGGTCATGGCCAAGGTTATGGTCAAGGTCATGGTCAAGTTCATAGTCAAGGTCATGGTCAAGGTCATGGTCAAGGTCATGGTCAAGGTCATGGAAAAGGTTATGGTCAAGGTCATGGTCATGGTCATGGTCATGGTCATGGTCATGGTTGCGTTCATGGTCAAGGTCGTGTTCATGGTCTTGTTTATGATCATGGTCATAGTCAAGGTCATGGTCAAGGTCATAATTAAGGTTATGGTCAAGGTCATGGTCAAGGTCATGGTCAAGGTAATGGTCAAGGTCTTGGTCAAGGTTATGGTCAAGGTCATGGTCATGGTCATGGTTGCGTTCATGGTCATTGTAATCGGTCTGAACATGGCATTGTTTATATATAATACCTGTGCTATCTCTCCCTCCCGGTATTAGGAGATAGTCCCTAAAGAAGAAAATAAAGTTCATAGATTTGATATTGAGCCTTAAATTAGTAGTTTAATAATGTGTTTTTTAAGCAGAAAGTGAATCTTTCATTTTGTAGGATAAAACCACAAGTTCATGGGTACCACTTAATTACTTAATTTATCATGTATAATCCTACCCACCTGACACAGTAGGTAGAAGTAACTACTTTATCATGTATAATCCTACCCACCTGACACAGTAGGTAGAAGTAACTACTTTATCATGTATAATCCTACCCACATGACACAGTAGGTAGAAGTGATTACTTTATCATGTATAATCCTACCCACTTGACACAGTAGGTAGAAGTGACTACTTTATCATTATAATCCCACCCACCTGACACAGTAGGTAGAAGTGACTACTTTATCATTATAATCCCACCCACCTGACACAGTAGGTAGAAGTAACTACTTTATCATGTATATAATCCTACCCACCTGACACAGTAGGTAGAAGTGATTACTTTATCATTTATAATCCTACCCACCTGACACAGTAGGTAGAAGTGATTACTTTATCATTTATAATCCTACCCACCTGACACAGTAGGTAGAAGTGACCCCTGCTCTGGAGAAAGGGAAGGTTTTGTAATTTCCAAATTTCTCTAAACGAATTTAAATATCAGATTTTTATGATTTATCCATAAAACAGATTTTCAATTGCAAATTGAATCCAACAAACTAGTTAATTTTTCTATTTTCAGAAATCAAGGTTTGTAGATAATCTCAAGATTTGTGACTTCTTTTGTAGAAAAACAGAGATAATTTTTGATTTTTTGTAAAAACCTAACACATTTAGGAATTGAGTCTTTGCCACAAGCTCAATTTCTTTAATTCGGATATCTTCTCAACCTGATGGTGTTAACCTTTTATATCATAAACTTTAAATTTTTGATCTAACAGAATTCATAGTTTGAAATTTCAAAGGCGTTTGACATTTGGTTGAAAATTTATAGGGATAACAAAGTTTTTAAGTTTGTGGAAAAAAAGTTATATCCTTTTATATAGTTTTAGACTAACCTAGCATAAAGGGATCTGAGGCAAAGAATACAATGTCACAAGCAGAGTCTGCAGCCAGAATACAAACACGATAGTGCTGAAATAAACAAATTATCATTTGTTCTAAACACCTTATGTTTAACATACCAAGATTACCAATGTGTAAACACAAAGGACCTCACTAGTCTCCTGGAGTTTGTAATAACTCTTGAAATAATAGAGATAAATGGTGCTAACTTTGCACCTATATTCTTTTAATCCATAAGGGGCATAAAAAAATTTCAAATTTTTTTTTTCTTGATCAGGGGCGTAGAAAGGGGGGTATTTGGCCCAAAACAGGTATTTATATATATAAATATTTTTTTGCCGATGTATCATTATTGTTTTCAAGATTTTAGGTCTGACAGAATATTAGACCATGACAAAATAGCCTAACAAGGACAGATTCAGCTTGCAGGAGGAGCCCTGTATGGTTCAGGGGCTAAAAAGCCAACAGTCAGGGGGGTCCTTTGATCCACATCAGACTCCTGAAAAATGAAGAGGAATCAGTGCCAATAATGCAAAATTAAATAAAAAA